CTGAGGCTATCGAAGCCCTCAGTGGTGCAAAACAAGGTGCGTGGATGAGTCTTCAGCCTGCTTGGCATCTGGCCGGATCTTGCAGCGGCAGCAGTGCTAGTCGCGACTTCCTCTGGCACGGAGGACCGGCGGGTCGTTGGCGAACTGGTGGTGGTAGCAGTGGAAACTCCTGCCTCCGAATGCTGGGGGTCTCTGTCGCCTCACCCTGCTTACATCCCCGTGTGGTGTTTTGGATCCCTCTTTATGGGATACAGGGCTCGTCTGATACAGGTATGCGCTTGTTTGTAATTCATCCACAACCCTAATGCGGCGTTTTGTTTATTCTGATGTTCCGCTGAGAGACCAAATTAACGTCTTTTGCTGTACTTGTGCTGGAGATTGTTCTTTGTTTGAAAATCTAAAAATGATTCCCATATTCTTGTCTAGTATTCATGTTGAATGTTGATATGGAACTAACAGGAAACAGTTCTTTTGCAATTTGTTCAATAAAGTCAAACTACGACGCTTGTGGGTATTGGGTCCTCTATAAAGCGTGCCTGCGTATTGATAACTGTGGCCTCGATAAAAATCATTTGTACATTTTACCTCAAATTAAATCCTTTGCCCTGGTTAGTTTTTCTTCAAACCCCTTACACACACAAATAATGCTTCTTGAGACAGACTTTTTTCTAATTTCATCTCCTATTGTGTTGATTGTTTTTTTACCGCTACTCCACTGTTCGTATGTACTCTTCTGTAAATAAATAAAAAAGACGTGCGCAGATTAAACTGAGTGGAACGTATACTTAGCTTCTTATCAGAAATTCACCAAAGTCGTCACTAAACATCCGGGGGGAGGCATTTTACGTAAGTGAAATCGGTCATTTTACACACTATGAACGGAACTGTTACGAGGCGATTTCAGTTAATGATTGGGAACCTTTGAATCAACCATATAAAACTTAATTGAATCCGCGAAGAAAATTAAAGTGAAAGCAGAACCAAATGACTGACGACTGCGGTAAATAAAGAGCTTTGAAACAAACGCAAGTTGCGAAAATCTTTCTACAAACGGAAAGCTCAGGAAAGCTTGAAGATTGTAGGCGACAACACAATCTATGCAATTAATTCTCCATGAGACAGAGGCTCCTGGATGCACTTTAGCAGTCTGTGTGGTTAGGCAGGGTAGATGGGAACAGAGGTTGTTGTTTGCTTATTTCGACCACTATCGGCGTGCAGATGACGTGATCTCGGCACTTGTTTAGGACAATCTTTATAGCCCCTCCTCCACGAAGGTGTAAGCACTGTTGTCCCTAAGTAGACATCCCAATCAGCTACCGAACCTCGTTATGCGTCACTGCTTATTTTAGTGGAAGAGCGACTCGGGTTAGCTTATTCCGCCTATGAGACTGGGTGTCATCTTATCCGTAGGACTTGACGATAACAGGGAGGATGGAGGAGGGAAGCGAAGCAGAAATATCGGATATGGGTACACACAACACCGGATAACCTTGGCTGGTGTAGCCCGCCGATCGAAGCGGTTACCGGGGTTCTGGCAGCTAGGTAGAGCCTAGCTTCGGGGAGCCACAACTGAGCACTGTTGCCGGTTGAGGGATGTTAGTCGTATTCACCACCTGCAGGAGACAAATTATGTGAGCTCTACCTATTGAATCTCTGCCATACTTCCCCAAGCCCTATATAAAAACACTGCTAGAACTATTATATACCACTATGTCAATTTCAATAAATCGTTTTGCTTACATTAACGTTGACATTCAGCTGAAATTTCCGAGCGTAAATGCGGTGACTTTTTTGCTCTCTATGATTTAGCAACTTGTCCACCTTCTTTACCAGTCTTGTTTCACTGCAAGTCTTATGCATTGCGCATACAAAAACATCTGTAAAATTTTGCAACGTTTCATAGATGCCTGTACAGTTTAGACGGAATTTTCAAGGGCTGCTGACTGATTGAAGCCGTTCTCTGCATCCTGACACACGCTCTGTCCGGACTGTTTTTGGGTTCTGCGAAATTTTCACTATACGACTGCAATGAGTTTCTTTTTCTGCAGCCACATTTTACTCTTTAGTGTGCCCATCGTCTAGCATACTTGGTTAGCCTCCTACGTCTAATTTTATGTTTTGACTATACGGCTTTAGTCTGCTTCGAAGCTGCTGTGTAATCATCAACCTTTAGGATCTCTTGTTTGAAGACCGTGATTATGGATGTCCGGAAGTCAAGCTTCATCCGTGGTCAAGCTTGAAAGGCAAATTACCATCTGCACAAGTTAAATTCCACGAGTGGATATATAGGACGGCTGATAAAGTCCGAACCAAGAGCAGAAGTCAGTATAAATTTAAAATGATGAATAGCTATAGAAGAACTCGTCGGGTACAGTGCTGGACTCCTAAACCGGAACTTATGATACTGCAAGTACTGTTACACCTTTATCGTGACCCACGAAGCCTTTACCAAAGTCCTCGCGTTTTCGTTATACTATTTGGATATCCCGCAGAAGTTAACACGTCTTGAATACACCTTTGTATATTAGTTCGCCCCAGAGCCAATACGCGTACGATAGTTTTCTTCAACAAATTGAGATGAGTTTCTAAAGGTACCTTGGAACATCTCTACACTACGC